AGAATTCTAGAAGCACTGAAGAAGACTCACTCAGATGAAACTATCTTAGCCATCTCAATAATTTATGCTAAAAGAAAGAAATATCAAAATAAAATTCTTAAAAGAATCATTCCCATTTTCCACCTGGATCAAACTCTTCAACAAGCTGATTTTACCACTGTCACCAAAGTGAATGAAGATGCTTAAATTCAAGGATTATTTCTATTTCATGTTCTGTCCTACCACTAAATCCTCCTGATCAACTGTACTTCAAATAAAAACAAGTAAAAGATGCCTCTCCTCCACATTGCCGGATTACAGGTTATAGCAAAAAATTCAGTCTAGCCTTCTGTTTTATTTCTGAGGAAACCAAAAAATACTAAAAATGGGCTCTTGAATGTCTTCTCTCACAATCTTCACTTCAAATGAAATTCCCCAACCTTATTTCTTCCTCACAGATGGATGACAAGCCTTCATCAACTTGGTCAACACATCCTTTCCCATTTCAACACATCCTTTCCCATTTCAACACATCCTTTCCCATTTCAACGCATCCTTTCCCATTTCAACGCATCCTTTCCCATTCCAACACATCCTTTCCCATTTCAACACATCCTTTCCCATTTCAACACATCCTTTCCCATTTCAACTCATCTCCTCTGCACCTGGAGCATTCTAAATAATCTAGTCACTGAAACCACCAAACTGATCAAGGACAAAGATTAAGAAGCTGAGATGATATGTCACTGGAACAATTTTATTTGAATTTCTGAAAAATCCACCTTCCACTCCTTTTTTGAAATATGGCACCAAATTTCAAGAATATATGCACTCAAATTGGCTACCGGTTTAAGTTTTTAAAATTCTTGGACCAACATTCCTCAATTTGACCACTGAAATACATCTCAAATTAATTCAGCTCACTCCTTCATCAAATCCTGATTTATTGGCCCTCAAAACTCATTCACCGGTGTCATCAAGTTAATCACCAATGCCCAGGAAGCTCAGTCACATGAAATCTCAGCCCATTACCATCAAGAAAAAACCAACACACTCAAGTATATTGGCCAGCTCTTCATAAAGTGCCACGGAAGAATCACTCACTATGCTCTCTTGAATGCTCAAAAAAAATCCCACCGCATCTGCCAATTTTGAGAAAATACCCCCTCACAACAGTTTCCATTGTGTACAGACGGGAATCCCTGGTAAACACCATATTTTTGCTTTGATTGATTGCGGAGAAAAATTGCAGCCTTCATGCGCAGTGCAAGTGAGTTTAAGAATTCATTTTATTTCTTTGTCTCTTTTGGAAGATTTTTGGGGTTGGTGGCTGGGAGTTGTCATCAATAAAAAATTGTCCCGTTCCAATTTAGGAGTCATTGGTCTAAAATGTGCAGAAAAGAAAACAAATGGGAGTTGTTGGAATCTGTTCTTACTAATTCTGGATTTGAAAAGGTCAAAATGGGAGTTGTCAAAATGATTGTTTCCCTGTGCAGATTTGGGATTTGTTGGTCTAAAAGGTGTGGGGAAAAAACAAATTAGAGTTGTTCTTACTAATTCTGGATTTGCAGAGGTCAAAATGGGAGTTTTCAGGACAATTTTTTAGCCAGCGCGGATTTGGGGAGTTGTCTGTCTAAAAACTGTCAGAATTATGGCCTTTCTGTCCGCTCACATGGCCCCTCAGTAATAATTAACATTTATTTTCAACTTACCCCCTCCCCCNATCCTAATTGGACTGGACATTTCAGCCAGTCTCATAGCCTTTTGGTTAGGCTCAATGCTTTGTTTGATTAGGTTGACTCAGCATATGACAGCAGGCTTGAACAGGGAGGAGAATGTTGATGAGGATTTGGAAGAGGTTGTTTTGGATGACAGGGAATCAGATGGGGAAAATGTTGCCATGGGTGTTTTGGATGATTATGAGGAGGAAAGCATTACAGGAAATGAGGATGCAGAGCCATCAAATTGATTTTAATAATACCCGGTGAATTTACCATGTAGCCATTTTTGAATAAGAAACTTCAACTCATAGTTTTTCACTGAAATAGTTTTATCACATTTGAAAATAAAAGTTTATTTTTATTTGTTTTTTATGGTGTCTTTCATTGTACCCGATGGATTTGTTTAAATTATACACAAAGATTTTTTTGTACACATGTTCTTTTTCAGATTTCCTAGCGCAGTCCTGCTTCTGTTGCGTTCAGCATTGAGTTGGTTCAAACACAAGAACTCTTGTGGACTGCGCGCTCATGTACTGTGCGCATCAATTTGGAGTGTGCTAGCGGTGTGAGTGCCCCCATGAGTCGCGAGGTTGGGTGGTATGAGGAGCGTGCTGGGGTTGCTGGGGTCAGCGGGGTACCCGCCTCTTCGGTGGCCACCCCTATTTATTACATTCATCCCCACAAGATCTTCTTAGTTTAACTTTCACTCCAGGCACAAAGTTACAAAACCATGATTTAGTCAGAGAGATTTTTATCAATACCAACGAAGCCGGTGTATGTGACAAGAATGGCTTGGGCTTGCTTAATCCGCGGCTGAGGTATCACTAGCTAGCCTTCTTGAAAGAATACAGGAGATCACCTAGCTCAATCAATTGATATTACGGCTGAATAACGAACAACGGAGGCGAAAAGAAAGAAGTAGAAGAAACGAATTGGTAGTCGCATGGTACAAAGGTGAACGAGGTCCGGAGTGTTATCCACAAGGTGACCTAAAGTGACTTCAGACGTATACCCCGGCGCCTTGCATTTGCATGTCAAGCTTTACGAGGTCGGATTCGGGAGGTAAGGCATGGCATCAGATCCGAAACTTAATTGTCTATCCCACAAAATAGCTCAGCTTAGGCTCTAACGAAAGATTAGCGGCGAGTGATCCAATCGAGGGATTAGTTTTTTGGATCCCGTTCCTGAATGGTGAAGAAGCGGCAAAATTGAAGAAAGAGCCCACATGTACCAACTATCAGAAAGGATGAGGTCGCGAGAAGCTAACACGTTTTCTGGTAAATTCGGTGTCCGTCTGTCAAGAAACATGAGTCAATACCCCAACAGATAGATAATTTAATATTCAAATCCTGACCAGCCATGAGAAAAAAGAGAAAGAAAAGTTTTCATCCACTCACATTATTCGTCTCCGCTCTACGTCCCTGAAAACAAACGAAACCCATATCATAATTGGCGTTAGCAAAATGATGATTGGGCGTGCTGCAAAGCATTGAAAACTCACCAAATTATTCGAGGCTTGGGCCATAGATTGAACCAGGATGAGCAGAAGAAGAAAACTGTATATACTTCTGTGAAGTGAAGCTGTGAACATCATGAAGAAGTTGAAGGGTTTCGCGTGTGTCAGAACGTCGGTCGAGTTGAATTCAATGAGCTGGACGGAGAGTGTGGTAGGAAATATTTGGGGTGATTTTTGTGAATGTCCAAGAGGCATAGGTCGTCGCTAGAATGATCAGGCAAAAGGGAAGACAATGCGATAGGCTGGTTAGACCACAAGTCTCGTAGTCGTCATTAGAAGAGTTGTCAAACCTTCCAGCATCGGTGGGTAAGCAGAAACCTGGCCGGTACGCAGAGCAGATTTAAAATAATTTAAATATGCCGCCAACATTCTTATTATCTATGTACAACATAGCGGCAGCAGTGGCTCCCATGGTGACATGGACTATATTTGGCATCCGTGTGAATATGTCGTAATCTTTCACTCAAATCTACTCACATATGTATCATAAAATAACTCAAATCGTTGCTGGATCATGAACGGGATTCCAATATGGGCGGTGCGATGTGGCAGTGATCAAAGCTCTTTTGTGCTTTAATCGCACATCTGGGATGGATTATCTTGGCTGTGAAACAAAGCATCCAAGTCATACTCCAGAGTATGAAATAACACCACGAGTATGAAAGGGATTCAAAAAAATAAATAATATTGACGGCAGGAAATGGAAATGAAAGAGAAAACAATGTAAAGGGAGTAACGCTGGTTGAAGAGAATGAAAAAAAAGAAACTTGACTCATCGTCAGCAAACATTTGTAGGATGTTGAAAGTGACTGTGATTAGAATGAAAATCGAAGATTAGAGCTCATCAGCTTCCAATTGTGGTATTAAAAATTTGGACATAAAATCATACATAAGGGCAAGTTTAGTTTACTTTTTTCGCAAGGGATTTTCAACAAAGTTTTATGTATTGTGACAGGTCCCTGCGAGAAAATTTTATGTGAAAGGTATTTATGATTATATGTTTGAATTTTGAATACTATAATTGGCATTGCCTGCAGTACTGGGTGAATCTCACATGCCATGTTTGGCAGGTATAATAATCAAGAAGGAGATTTGATGGGGAGAATACCATGAAACCACTTTGCCACATACAGCAAAGAAGGGTTGATTTCTTTGGTAGTCCCAACTGTAGAGAATCTTACACATTGGCACATTTTAATGTGGATGGGTCAATTGAATATTTCTGCTGTTTCCCTTCTTCAACTTGCATTAATTTACTCAAGATTGAAATTCTACACCAGGACCAATCAATAAGCACCTGATGACAGGTGACATGAGGCTACTGATTTGATTCAATTCAGTAGCCTGATGTCACTTGTCATCTGGTGATCATTGATTGGTCCTGGTGCTGTATTTTTTCACAACTACAAAAGTACCAAATATCCAACAGAAAAAAAGACTTGAATTTCTCTGGCTCACATGTCACAATGTTAAAACCTATTCTGGAAAATTATTACAGCTTGGATATTCATGATAAAAATGGAAAATCTGAATTTCCAGAAGCTGGTACCAGTATCCACCAAGTAAAGCTGAATGCTTGATCAATGGAAACCACTTTCAAAATGAATTATAGTTAGCTTTCCCTAAATTTAAATAATGGATTAACAGTTTACTGCTTAAAACAGAACCAAACTAAAACAGGAAAGGAGTCAACATGAATCAAGAAAGACAAGTATGAAGAAGAAGAAAAGTAAATCATACCACAGGAAAAGGAAAGTTTTGAATAATAAAGTGACTAAGAACGGTGATTCAGAGTATTTAATTGTCAGAATTCTGGCCTTTCTGTCCGCTCACATGTCCCCTCAGTATCAATTAACATTTATTTTCAACTTACTCCCCCCCTTCATTCTCAACTCTGTCCATCATATGTTTGATGTTTATTTCCTGTCCATCATTAATTTATGATGTTGTCCATCAATAGTCTGTTGATGCTTTGTCTATCCATTACTAGTTGTAATGCCCATTCCTGTCCACTGTTAAGTTACAGTGTCATTCCTGTCCACTGTTAAGTTACAGTGTCTCTGTCCATTGTTAAGTTACAATGCCTCATCCATATGTTAGTTTCCTTATTAGCATATGCTTATGTTTGTCAGCTCTACCACATTTTGAGCTCCTTGTTGTTTCCTATTTATTCTGGCTTATGATCAGTAGTAATAAATCATCAAGTCTGAGCCTCATTTTTCTGGACCCTCTCTGCTCCTTGATCCAATCTTTGGTGCCCTCAAGATTGTCCCCTTCTCCGCCTCAAATTCTCAACTTGAAATCCCAACAAAAACTATCTGCAAACAATTTTCTGGGAGTAAAAAATGCAGCACAGTGTGTTTTCCATGGCAGTTGCATATAAGTGCTTTCACATCAATTTCCTGAATAACCTGTTGGCAACTTCTGGGATGTTGGTATGAATTATACAAGCCCATGACAAATTTGGTTGTAACTTGTGTTGATTTCAAGCTCAAAAATCAACCTGATGTGTTGCCCAAGTCAAGCTGTTATCATCCTTCCCATATGAATAAATCAAATCTGTTGAAATTTAAGTCAAGATTTTGAGGCGGTGGAAGGCAATCTTGGGGGAAGAAGATTGGACCAAGGAGCAGTGAGTGGGTTCTGGAAGAAGTGGCTCAAAATTTATGATTTATTGCTACTCTCCATTGGCTAGAATAAATAGACAACTCAGCAAGAGTGCAACATGTGGTTGAGCTGACTAAGACATATAAGCATATTTTAATAAGGAAACTAACATATGGATAGAGCATTGTAAAGTTACAATGTAATACACAGGCATTAAAATCTTTTAATGGAAAGGAAGAGCATCAACAACCTATTGATGGACACAAATAGCAAGGCACCATTAATTAATGATGGATTCAAACAAGAAAAATAGCATCAATAATTTGATGGATCAAGTAAGATGACTGGGAGTTAATTTTTTATGATTAGATTGAAGAAGAATGTGAGCAAAGACAGATCTGGATTCTGGCAAAATCTTCATTTCACCTGTTGAAAAAATCTTATATATCTTTTTCTCATCCAATTTTTCTTGAAATTATATGTGAGCCATGCTCAAGAGCTTATTCTTTTTCTTGAAATGATCATAATTCATATCAGCTTTGGTCACAATTTTATGACCTTAATATTCTTTTTTTTGTTATGATTTCATTGAGAATGTGGATAAAAGCCTTGCTAGTGAGCCTTGATCAATTACACAATCCAAGTCCATTGGAACTGTGAAAAAAAACATCCACAAGTCACCATTCAGCATCAACAGGCTCAATTACTCCTGAAATCCCCAATCACAGAAGCTTACCAAAACCAACACAACTCTCCAAAACAATAGAAATTTGGTAGCCAACCAAACCTTTGCATATGTTTTAATCACCTGATTCAGCTCTTCAGCTTGGCTCTCAACTACCCTTACAGTGAAATTCATGATATTACTGCAGTGAGAAAGCTGCAAAAAAAAAACCTTGGTTTGGGTGAGTTGGTGATGGGTGGATCTCTGAAACACCCACCCACAAACACACACACTAGAGCTTGCCTCTGCAAGTCAATCCTCTCTTTTTCCTCCTCAGAAGATGAGCCACTGCTGCCACCCTCCCCCAAGCCTGTCTTTAAATATGCCAAGGCTACCGTGTCAATCTTTTGCCTTTAGGTTTTATTCCTCTGTCCCCAGCTGGCATCTTGTTGTGTTATGGTTACAAGGCAGACTTACAGCCCTCAGCACAACAGTCAGTAAAGAATCACAACATGCTTTACATAATTAAAATTATTTCTCTACCTGGCTATTCCTCAACGCACTGTGATTGCATCATTGCCAAGGCCTTTTTTTATCTTGGTGGAGGGTTTGATATGATTTCAGCATGACTTCAAGCCAAGTTGCAACCAAGTTACCAAAGAGTTGTAGTTGAATTGCAGAGTATATCAACTGAACTCAGGACCAAGCTCACCAAAAATCAGGCTTAACCTGTGCACAAATTAATTAAACCAATACACAACAGGTATCATATGACCAAGTTCAGAGAAAGCACTTGCATGTGAGTGCCATGAAAACAGCTCTTTCTGCAAGCCAATTTCTGCTTCATCTTTTTCTTCCATTTTTCAGTGTAGGAGAAGCATTAAGACTTTTTAGATCATTCACTTATCTATGCATTATGCTTGTTGTGAAGCATGAAAGGAACGATCCAATTGGTTTGCTTGGGTGGTGGTGGGTGTGCAACAGCTAGATGGGCTGAAATACTAGTGCTGAGCTGGATAGAGCAATGTTGGTTCCCGGAGGTTGATGGTCAGAAGATGGTGATGTGAGGCTCAGCAGTGTTCCCATTAAGAATAGAGTGTTATGTTTTGCTGAGCTGTCTCTACCCGAACTTAAAGTTTTTACTTGCGCCGCCTACATTAAAATTTGCTGAGTTCCCTGATAAATTTTGCTGAGTAAAGGGTATTGTGAACTGGCTTGTGCGTTACAGTTATGCAGGTAGATAGCGTGGTATGTGAGATCAATACCACTTAAAAATGCCTTAACTGGATTGCTGATAAACAGGAGGATAATTACGCTTTAAGCATTAATGGCTGCGCAAGAATATATGCTTCTGGCGAGTAACCGGCTTGAGCGTACCCGGCCGAGAGTAACCGATCGATTGCCGGATCCGTGCCGCTGAACAAGGAAGAACCACCAACAACCACACCGACAACCACACCCATCAACCAACCGCAGACGCTTCTTCCAAATACTCAGACCAGTCGACCATGATTCCATCGAACGTGCAGCACTCCGGAATGCCTGTCGGTCAGTTCTCACTTCTGTGCATCCATGCCCTCATCAAGATCGAAACTCATTTTCTTGGGCATGGAAACTTGTCCATTCATTCATCCCATTACACTTCTCTCTCTCTCTCTAGGCAAGAAATACGTATGTCCTTCCTAACCCTTCCGATTTAATTTGGGTTTCGCTCCCAGGGGTCCAGATGATGAACAAGCTCACTAACCATCGTCTCGCAAACAACTACGACCCCGATGAAATTGTAACATTCATGTGCGAAAAATAGATGGGATGGTGGGGAAACATGGGAGGCCCCAAGCAAAAGGGAATTGTAGAATACAGTAAGCACCCATCTGCGGTGATCTACCGGTCGTTTTTATCATCTTGCTTGCAGAACGACTGACTACAGATGATGGGATTTCGGCAACACCACCCAGCCATATCGCCCTACCGTCAAAGCCCTATGAAACATGCCCTCCGAGGATATTTGTTCAACGGCTACCGGAGATTGGCCGCTCAAGTCCCGTACTGGATCGTCCCTTTCGGCGTTGGTAAGCCCACTACCAAGTCCCCTTCCCCTCGTTTTCTACTTGGGTTTCGTATCTATCAAACTGCTGGCTTCTTACTTCTTTGCGGCTTTCTATTTCTACATCTCTGACAGCTTACGGGGTCATTAAATGGGCCGACGCCGACAACCATCTCAGGAACACCAAGGCCGGTCACGCCCAGGGAAAATTTCCATAGATTGATCACATTGGGGAGAGGATATGAAGAAAACCTAACCATCATCCATACTCATCCTTTCCGAAGCCTCAAGGGGTTGCTTTTTCTGTTTTCTATCTTTTTTTTTCTTTTAGCTGTTTGCCGGTTTATGTATATCACTTGAACCATCATTTTTTTTAAAACCAAATGGAGATCCATATAGCACGCTCATGGGATCGACTATATCGACTCAAGAAGACCCTCGCCCATTATGTGTTTCACATCCGTATGCTTGCCCGAGTTTTGCCCAGACCCCGAGCACCAATCCAAACAAGACTCGCATAAATTCACATGTCTGATGTTGGACCTACTAAGCAGGGGGTCCCGAGGATCTGTAGCTAGTCACGAAAATGTGGGCAGTGTCCAAAGACCATTCTGATAATGAGGGCAAGATGCCGAACCACAGACGATCACACGAAAGATGGAAGTGCTTTTGCGCGCATGCTAACCCAGCTCAAACCAAATACCCTGTTCCACGCACCAGATTTCATTCCACAATCTCTCGATCAGGAGGTGCGTAGTCAAGACGGACTGAGCAGAGAAAGTGGACCATGTCTGGCCCCCCTGACCGCACGAGGAAGGGACGGCACGCTCACTAAGTTGGGCAAGGATCTGGTTCATATTTCTGATTTCAGTGCGAATGAGACTGAATCCAACTTAGTGTGCTTGGCACTCTCGTGTATCTCAATTCCATCAATAAAACCATGATTATTCGAGAAAGACGGTTGGCAACAGAGAGGAGAGAGGCTTCCCTTATTGATATTCAGAATTGTGTTGTATTTACATCAAGGCCTGTACCACAGACCTGGGAGTTTTTGAAAACAGTAGGCGGGCACATTTCTTCTCCGTAAGTTTATGTTGCCCAGGTTCCCATAACAATATTTTTTTTTTTTCGCAGGAGGATGCCCTTGTGGAGCTCTGCATACTTTCATGAGTTTCATGAGCGCATCCTCCTGCAAAAAAATAGTTATGTCATTATGGGAATCTGACCAACATAAACTGTTGGAGAAGAAATGAGCCTTTTGGCTGTTTTTTTTTTTTTGTTGTGCAATTTGAAAATTGGGGGACCTGTTTTCAAAAACGGGGTTGGAAGTGTTTCCAAAAGCGGTGGGAAATCACCTGAAGTGGATTTTCCCATGCAAAGAAAAAAGAAATGTACCCTCAGGTACGTGATTCCAGCCAAAATCATTTTTTCCCAGGAAAATCAAAAATTACCTGTGTTGCCTAGGCAATGTTATATACAGAGCTGTCACAGAGGTCTATGGACAAGTGTACAAGGTTCAAGAATATTCTTAC